CGTCAAACGTTCTGTGTAACAGGAGGACTATAAAGGCGTGTATCAGGTACGAAACGAATCATGTGTTGGATTGTAGATACTCAAGACGGGATTTGTACCTCTCGTAAAAGAGAGAGATATCGTTGGGCCCCTCATGTGAGCGAGATTGTAGAAATGTGTGGTCGCACTATAGACGAACGTCGTCTATTTCAGACAGTCGAACTCAGTGAACGAGAAAGCAGTCGAATCAGATAAGGTGGTTTGTCCATGCCTTATGTTCGATGTATGATATCGCGATACAAAAGGATCATCAACCGGAATCATAACTGGCGTTCGTATGATGACGAACAAACTCTATTCGAGATAGGTAGTCATAGTGTCTTGCTAGAGACCGCCTATGACTTGTGTAACCGAAATAAGAGATTTCGGCTTATACTGCTATATCGGATGAGCCTACAAGGTCACACATAGGAAAGGACGAATGCGCGAGAAGAGACGAGAAAATCCCGGTGGAGTGGAGGCCAGACCGACCAGTCCAGAAGGTCTGGACCGATCAGTCCAGCCAACCCAGACCGATCGGTCCAAACACGTGGACCGGTCGGTCCAGAGGTAACGTGCAAATGTTACTCGATCCAGAAAATGTTCCAGTCCGATCGGTCTGGAACCATGGACCGATCGGTCCACACGTTAAAAGGTCCAGACCGATCGGTCCAGACCTAGACCGATTGGTCCAGACGTCGGGATTTCCTAAACTCGCTCTAATTAGGGTTTTAAGTGGGGTTAACTTTAGGAAACGCCTCCTAAACCTCTTGGTACGACTTTCAGACCCTTTGGGGAGTTTTTGAGAGTTGAAAACCTAAGAGTTAGATCCCTGAAACCCTTGCGCAAAGAAGAACGTGTTCTTCAGTCCTAGCAGACAAGTTCCAACCGTTGGAATCCTTTCAGCCGTGTGGATACGTGTAGAGGGTGAGGTATTCTTCCTACCTTACATGATCGGACGAACACAACAATTGATACAGGCCCCGAATCGATTGAGGTAAGCGTTCTAACGTTTCTACAAGATCATGCATGATAGGTTTTAGGGTTTTTATCAAAATTTTTGTTTTACATCTGCTGCGCAAACCCTAGAACCGATCTCTTAGAAATTAGATTCGCTCTTGAGATCCCAAGAAACCCAACACGAGGCTTACGACAATGGTATACGTGGCCCGGCATCAAGAAAGACTTCATAGATTTTGTTGCGCGATGTCTGACATGTCAGCAAGTGAAGGCTGAATGACAAATGCCTGGAGGAAAGTTGCAACCATTAGAGATTCCGGAGTGGAAGTGGGACTCTATAGCAATGGATTTCGTGGTTGGATTGCCAACAACTCCGACGAAGAAGAATGCAATTTGGATGGTTGTGGACCGATTTACCAAATCGGTACATTTTATACCGATCCGACAAGAGTACACAGTTGAGAGATTGACACACATCTATGTGGATGAGATCGTCCGATTACATGGAGTGCCGAGTGAGATTATCTCTGACAGAGATCCTCGCTTTACTTCGAGACTGTGGAATGCTATACAGGATGCATTGGAAACGAAGCTGGAGATGAGTACGGCATATCACCCGCAGACAGATGGACAATCGGAACAGACTATTCAAACGCTAGAGGATATGTTGAGAGCGTGTATACTAGATTAGGAAATTTTGTGGGACCGACACTTGATGTTGTGCGAATTTGCATACAACAACAGTTTTCATGCCAGCATCGGTATGCCGCCTTACGAGGCACTGTATGGGCGGCCTTGTAAGACACCACTATGTTGGACGGAAATCAGAGAACGACGAAATTTTGGGCCTGAAATTGTATAGGAGATGACTGAGGTTATCAGAAATATCAAGGTTAACCTGAAACTCGCACAAGATCGACATAAATCTTATGCAGACAAAAGGAGGCGGGATTTCCACCTAGAAGTGGGCGATCGGGTATTCCTTCGTGTACAGGCGATTCGAGGACATGCAAGGTTCGGTAAAACGGAGAAGCTCAAGCCTCGTTATATTGGGCCATATCCAGTAATTGGGAAAGTGGGAGCAGTGGCGTATCGAGTGGAGTTACCGGCAGAACTCGGCAACATACATGATGTATTCTACGTGTCCATGTTATGGAAATACATGGCAGATCCATCCCATGGTTTGCGGCCGCAGGAGATTGAGGTTACCCATAATGTTCACTTTCATGATGAGCAGCTTCAAATCGTGGACTACAAGACGAAGCAGTTGCGGAATAAGGAGATTTCCTTAGTCAAAGTCCTATGGTGGAGTCAAGGAGTCTCCGACATGATGTGGGAACTGGAGAAGGAGATGGGCGATCATTACCCCCATCTATTTTGTACGTAACTTTCAACTTAAGTTCGTTTGAATTCGAGGACGAATTCACTTTAAGAGGAGTAGATTGTAACAACCCATATATTTTAAAAAAAACAACCCTGGACCGTCCGGTCTAGATATCCCGGATCGGACGGACTACGATCAAACTGGAACGGACGGACCAGACTGTCCGGAACGGGCGGACCAGAGTGTCGGCAGTGATGAAAGTCGCGATTTTCGTCCGGATCTGACCTGGAAACGACCCGTGCGCACTAATCCCGACCAGAAAACTAACTTTTTGACCCTTGGGGCCTGATTTCTGTCCATACCTGTCGAAACCGTGTCTTTTTAGCCCCTCTCCCGCTTCAGTTCTTCATCATCTCTCTAAAACTCGACCCTCTCTACAAATCCGAAAATCTCTCCAAAATCCGGAAAATAAATGCTCAAATTGGTTCCTACAGAGCACAAAGAGCTTCACCAAGCTTCCATTCAACACCCAGAGCACGAGCTTAACCCGAGGTGAGTGAATTCGAGTTAATTCGGAAGTCTGTTGACATGGGATTTGGGTTTTTGGGTGATTCGTGCGAAATTGTTGCTTGATTCTTGTTCTACATGCAATTTTATGAGTTTTAGTGTATTACCCATAGCAAATCGAGCTTGTTTGAGTGTTTTTGATGAACTCCGAGGGCTAGAACGTCCGGTCTGAGGTCAGACCATCCGTTCTAGGTGTGCAGGAGAAATCGCGAAGTCCAGAGGTTGAAGACAAAGTCTAGACATCCGTTCTGGACAGTCCGGACCATCCGTTCTGGACAAGTCAGACCATCCGGTCTGGACAGGACGGAACGTCCGTTCCAAACCGACTGGACCGATCAGTCCAGGGACTAGATCGATCGGTCTGAAAAAAAGAAGAAAAAAAAAGAGAATAACGGAACCTTAAAAATTCACCATGTGAGAAAGTGAAAAAGTGACTTGCGTAGGTAGCCGATTGTAGTCGGTACTATCCCGTGATGAGGAAACACACGGTTCTTGGAACCGCGCCAATGTTTCTGTTAGCGACGGAGCGGACCCCGGGATATGAGTATCCCGAGGATGAGGCATCACACATACCTGAGATTCGGGTAGATTGGGGTCTCCCGAGGAGGTGGTACGGACTTACTCTGCCAGGTTTGGGCATGAACCTGACAAGTATTTCTGCGACAGATGGTCGGGGAGGGGGAGTTACAGCGATTGGCTCTCCCGATATAGTCGATGGCGTCGGTTGTAGCCGACGTCTGGCGAGCTCCGGTATTGAGAGGTGACATCAATGTCGGAGTAGGGTGACACACCTAGTATCGGGAGGTGACATCGATGCTAGGGTGGGGTGATGTGTTCGGGCGGAGAAAAATATATTTATGTCGGATCCGAGTGGTTGCGGAGTAGATGGATTCCGAGGAGAGAGGTGGTTGTGCTATGTACATGGGGGAGTACATTACCTACACATGGTGCGCGTAGAGACGATTTGACGGACCCTGTCTTGCGACTTGTCATACGGACTTGATTGTGATTGCTGATATGCTCACTACAAGAAACATCAAAATTTGCGACAGAAAAATCTGTCGCAATTACACAAGAATATCTGTCGCAATTACAAATTTACGACATATTGCGACAGAATCATTTCTGTCCGTATATTGTTGTCGCAAAAGTTTGCCGGTCGTTAATCTGTCGCAAAGTTGCGACGGACAAAATCTGAGTTTTGCGACAGAATTGCGACAGATTTTTCTGTCGGAAATATCTTTTTTAATATTTAAAAAAAACAAAAAAATCTACGTTTACTACGGATTTGCGACAAAAAAATCCGTCGCAAATATTTTTTTTAATATATATACACATACACATATACATTTACATATAGACATATATATACATACACATATACACATACATAAACACACATTCATACACATATATACACACATAAATTTACATACACATACATATATTTTACACATATGCACATAATTATACATATACACATTAATTTATATACATATATATATACATACACATATATTCATATACATACATTTACATACACACATATATACATATACACACACATACATAAACATACATTCATACATATATATACACATATAAATCTATATACACATACATATATATACACATACACATAAACACACATAAACACACATAATTTACATACACATACATATATATACACATATACATATACATTACACACATACATAAACACACATTCATACATATTCACATATACACATACACATACATATATATATATATATAT